GAGAGAGAGAGAGAGAGAGAGAGAGAGAGAGAGAGAGAGAGAGAGAGGCGCCGCAGGCACATGAATGCAGTGGCACTGGGGCACCTCAGTGCGCATGTGCTCTTTTGTTCTGTTTAAGATTTTACTTATTATTATGTATTTGTATGTATAGAGTATGTGTATGTATATATGTGTGTGCACACACTTGTGCATACAGAGTCAGTTCTCATTTTTTAACCTTTACACGGTAGAACTCAGGTTAGGCTTGGGTTGAAAGAACATTTACATGCTAAGCTATCTTTCCTGCATGTGTATACATTCTTGAGGCAAATACCCCTATACAAGGGGTACCTGCCTACTTCTCAAGAAAGATGAGGAGCTGGTCTCTGCACATGATACTTTGCTGAATCCCACAGCCACGCTGAGAAAGTGTGTGGTTTCTTATGTACTCACCTACAGGAATTCTACTTTGCTTGGTTTTGTTTTTTTTTTTTCAAGACAGGGTTTCTCTGTGTAGCTTTGGCTGCCCTGGAAGTCTTTCTAATAGACCAGGCTGGCCTTTAACTCAGAGATCCACCTGCTTCTGCCCCCAAATGCTGGGATTAAAGGCCTGTGCTACCATCACCAGGCATTTCAGGTTAGTCTTCATCCTCTTCCAGGCCTGTGCCTGTGCCTTACCTGCTTCATCTACAGGGAGGAATGCTACCTATCAGAAGTATAGGAACAAAAGGCTGGAGTCAAGTCTAGTGACTCCAGCCAGCAAGCTCTCAGCCATGGGAAGTCCTACACAAATTCAGACAGAGACTTTGGCTAATGTCTAGCCCAGGTACACTCCAGTGTGAGGCCACAGAGAAGACAGCTGCTGAGTCCCCCTGATGTAAGAAAACTCTTCAGCTTCCTTAGCTCGTGAACCCCAAAAGAAGCAGTATGAAACACACATGAACAAAGGATTGGCGCGGGGCGGGGCGGGGCATGAACTTTGAATTACCTACCAAGCCCTTCATACTGTCAGCCCTGTTTGCATTGTGTGATTTGACTGGCTGCTTCTCTTGCAACTCAAAGTCTTTGCTCATATCCCCAGTCCTGTGTTCATGTGTGTCTCTGTCTCTCTATCTCTCTGTCTCTGTCAGAGGACAACCTGTGGGAGTCAGTTCTCTCCTTTCACCATGTGGGTCCCAGGATTTGAACTCAGGTCATCAAGTTTTGTAGCAGGCCACTACCTGCTAGGCCACCTCACCAGCCACACCCTCTAACTTTTTATGGAACTAGTCGACTGTGATTTTGCTGGATACCTTCATGCCAAACCACGTACCACATAAAATCCTCACATCCATCTACCTACCCCCAAAAGACAAGACGTCCTTTAACAGATCATTACTCTCCAGTGCCTCCGGTAATGAGTAGCTGGTCTCCCCCAGTGACACAGACCCATGTTTATAAGCACTGGCTTTTTACAAGTACAAGACGCACAAATCATTAATTTGAAAAGATGTCTGCCTTACATCTCAGGGCCTGGCTAACTCCCTTGACTGTGATACTAAACCTACGATAAAGGTTTTTCCCTAGACAAAACCTCCATAGTGAGGGCTACCGGATGCTTCCTCCCTATGCTCATCTGTGCTAACAGACCCTGATTATTAGTGGGCAGCCTTTCTATTTCCAAGCCCCTTCTTCAGCTAGCACATTCTGGCCAATTAATGTAAGAAAATGGGTTTAAAAGGGGTCTCTGAGAAGCTACTGGGCACGAACTCAGCTGAGGGAGGCAGACTTTTGTGCTTCCGCTTTCCTCCTCCTTCAAGGCCTGTATCTGGACCAAATAATGGGTGCCCTTCATGGCCATCTTGGACCAGAGCAGCCAGTGAGGATGGAAGCCAGGTGCTGGAATGATACCAATGAGAAATAGGAGCCTGGAGCTCTGAACGCACTGTGCAGATGCCCTGGAATCCTCAGCCTTCATTTCAATGGCAGGTGAAGGTATCTCTCAGTTGCTGTCATTCAGAGTCAAACATACACACAATGCCAATTACATGCTAACAAAGAATACTCTACCCCAGACACATCCCACTGCCAGTAACAGCAAATGACTGAAGCAGGTGACCAAGATAATAAAACATCCTAATCAGCCATCTTTTCCTGAGACTTCGTAGCACTGTGATGGCTACCACACAGCCAGCCATATTCTCCTCTTGAGTAGATCAAACTCAATTAGCCTACACTTTCTGGTATTCTGCTCTCATGTGACCATGACCAAAAATCCAACCCTCTGTAAACCCTAACAAAAGAAAACAAAAGAGTTCCCCATATCTACAAAACAAGAAGTCACAATTCCCAAGATGGAGGCAGTGACCAAAATGGCGGCATCCCACTTCTGAAAGGACAGCAGTGAGGGACAATGACGGCCATCGGCTCATGCTGTAGTCACAATGCCAGGCAAACACCACACACAACTCCTGCTCACACCTAAGATCTACAGCCTATACCGACATCGGCACCGACAGGGTGATACCATGTCATGTCTTGATGAAGTCCTTTAAAATACTCCTACATAGAAGCCCACTCCTTCCCTGAGAGCTCTCCGCTTTCAAGGACAGACAGAACCAGAACCCTGGCTTCTGGAAAAGAGACAGTCAGTTCCTGCCCTCTCTTCAGATAGCACAACTTAGCAAGGCAAGGCCTTCTTCACAAGATGCTTGTTTCCACGACAGTAAAAGTGTAGAAGGTAAAACCTTATGCATCTAGCTTCAGATTATGGCCAAAGTTTAAACTTGACCAAAGAAATTGTAAACTTTTACACTTCTATTATCCTGGCCCAGATTTCTCAGTGGGCCAAACTATATAACATTACTGTGCCCTGCCTAGCCCTCTCAGAATGGTGAGGACATAAGAAAAGTTAAAGAGAATTCAGTTTCTACATTACATTCTCTACCGATGCATCTGCTGCCTCTTATCCCACCACACGAGCAGCCTCTGGGCTGAAATCAGTCACCAAAAGTTTCAATTCAGTTAATGTATTTAAAGAAAAAAAAATTGGAAAAGGGACGATAAAAAGATAAAAATCACAGCAAAGGGAAAGGGGGAAATGAGATTTTACCTCATATAACTGAAATCTTTCACATTCACACTTAATTCTTCATAGTCTCAGAAAAAGGAAGTTTTCTATTATTAAGGGGGAAGAGAGCATGGACCAAAGAGATAAAGGAAATAAAGGCCATTTTAAAGCAACTGCAAAGTCTCTCTCTCTCTCTCTCTCTCTCTCTCTCTCTCTCTCTCTCTCTCTCTTTTTCTCTTCTTCCCTCTCCCTCTCCCTCTCCATATATATATATGTATACATATATATGTATATTTCTATACACATATTCACACATGCATACACGGCTTCTTAAATGTCTGGTAGGATAGGCCAAATGACACACCTGTCCTCAGCTGTGCACACGCCTTTAATATTAGCACTCTGAATGGAGAGGCAGGCTGATGTTAAGGTCAGCCTGGTCTACAAAGCAAGTCCCAGGACAGCCATGGCTACACAGATAAAGGAAACCCTGTCTCAAAAAAACAAAACAAACAAACAAACAAACAAAAAGAAGAAAAGAAATAAAGAAATACCCATTCTCACTAAGGAAAGGAATTAAAAATACTTGCCTCTCTTCTTTTACATTTTCTACAACAAATCCTACTTAGACGATTACAAATGCAGTTGGAAAGCACTCCCAACAGCACCCACAGGAAAATAAGCCATGTTAGGAACAACGCACATAAAATCAAAGTCTGAAGAACTTCTGAGCTCAAAGCAGACAGGTACAGAGAGTAGTCCCAAGAACCTAAGTCACCCCCACCGAAGTCCTTCACCTGAAATACTCTTCTCACAGGGTCCTCAAAATAATCCTAACTACACACTTCTAATCGCTTGGGTCCTCTCTGCAGTCAGTTTGGACAAGGAGAGCATGAGGAGGCATATTCCTAGCTGTTCTGCCAGCCCACGTGCAAGCCTGGAGTCTCTACCAACTTATCATGTAATTAGACCTAACACTGACTTTACAGCCCAGTTTATGGGCTCTATGTATTTAATACACAGTTACTTCTCTGTTCCCTGAAATTACACACTGGTTATAGAAGTCATTAATAGCACCCTTGGGTTAACAGGAGGTCTAAAACACTAGGCAGGTCACGCTCTCCACGGGGTCCCAGTTAAACACACAGTCCTTCTCCTGATGCTCCGTCTCCAGTTAGCTGAGGTGTAAGGGTAAAATGAGAGGCCTGCCTTCTTGGCTACTCCAGAAAGGGGGTATCTGCTTTTGGTGATTACAAATAGATTTCTCACACACAGGAAATAAATCTATCAGACTCAGAACACTGCCAACTCTGCCTGCTTATATCAGTTCACAGTTACCCCAGACCGCTCAAGTGTCTCGTGCCTGTTTCCCCACATCACCACTCAACAACGGTCGAAGGCTCTGATGGGAGGCTCCACCGGGAATCCATGCCTAACCTTACCAAAGCTGCGGCTGAGACTGACGCTGCGGCTGTTGTCCACAGCCCAGCCCCGCTCTCCATACTCACTGTTGCTGGACTTAAGGTCTCGGTGGATGATGGGTACGATCGCCTCATCGTGCAGGTAGTTCATCCCTCTGGCGATCTGCACAGCCCAGTTCACCAGAATGTCCGGGGGAATCCTCTTCCCAGACAATACTCTGTTCAAAGGCCCTCCACGAGCAAACTCCATGACCAAGCAGAGGTTGGGTTCTTTCAGGCACACCCCTCTGAGGGCAATGATGTTCGGGTGCTTCAGCATGGCAAAGAGCTTGGCCTCTTGCCGAACATTCTCTATGGTCTGGCTGATGTCCTCATCAGGGTCGTGACGAGCTGCTTTCACGGCCACCTCATCGCCCACCCAGAAAGCACGATAAACTTTCCCGAAGCCTCCAATGCCGATGATCTCCTCCAGGGTTAGCTCCGCAAAATCAATCTCTAACACTGAAAGAAGAAAACAGAGAATCAGCAATATACTTGGAACACCACATAACTAAGCACACTTTCACGACATGGGCAAACACAGCCATGGTAGGTAAACGGGACCTCCCTGTCTCCCCACTACAAAAGTAAACTCCACAAGCAGTAGAGCCTGTGGTTAACTTCATGTGCATTATTCTTAGTGATTAGCAAACAGTAGACGCTCAATGGGTCTATAAGGTAGATCCTACTTGGATTATCGGTAGAATCTTGTACCAAGGCTACCCCACTTTAGTTCAAGGGAATACTGGGACAACCTTTTTTGAAAATTTCTTAGGTTCACGTGTTGTTGATGATGAGAAACAACAACCCAGGGGGAAAGCACACACACAGTAGCTACAGTCTGGTTTGCAAACAGCTTCTGTAGAAATACGATCAGTGAATAAAGAAAGGTACTAACTCCCTCAGGAGGACAAGGGAGGGAGGAGAAGTGGAAAATGGACATGTGAGAAGGGCCCTAGAGAAGAATAGAGGGGAATCTTATCCAACAATGAAAGGGATGGGGTAAAGGACAATCTAGGCAGAAGAAGGAAGGGTGTGATCGGTAACATGGGTGTCAGAGCACACGACACCTGAAGGGCATCAGGAAGTCCACAGCAGCTGGACTGCATGTACAGGATAAGAGCTGAGTGAGCCTCAAGCCTTGTTGGGAGTGAGTGACCAGATGATAAGAAGCTGTTGAGCAATTCTGTGGGGTTTAAAGTTACCCTATAAGCAACAGGGGCCATTTATGTACCCTTTAGAAGGAGAGGGGGAGTTTTGTGGTTTAGAAAGGACACCAACTCTGACAGCTATGCAGAATATAATGGAAAGACAGTCCAGACTGGTGATTTTCAGCTTCCCAATGCTATGATCTTTTAATACAGTTCCCTATGTTGGGCTAACCCCCAATAGTAAAATTATTTTCATTGTGACTTCATAACTGTAATTTTACTACTGTTAGGAATTGTAATGCAACTATAGAATATGCAGCATATCTGATATGTGACCCCTGTGAAAGGTCACTCAACCCCCAAAGGGGTCAAGACTCATAGGCTGAGAACTGTTGGTCTGAAGCAAAGGGCTACTAAGGAGCTGGGAAGCAGCTCAGTCAGCAAAGCCTATCGTGCAGGAAGTCAGTCAGAAAAGCCTATCGTGCAGGTTTAATCCATAGCACTTCATAAAACAGTATCGTGGTGCGTGCCAATAATCCTACACTAAGGAGATGGAGACAGAAGAATCATAAGTTCAAGGTCAACCTAAGCTCCAAAGCAAGTTTGAGACCAGTCTAGTCTAAACGGAAAGCCTGTCTCAAAAGAAAGAACCACTAAGGAGATCCTTACAGTGATCCAGGCCTGCACCGCATCCGAGGTACCTAATATGGAAAGAACTTAGTCAATGCGAAAGGCTTCCAGGACTTGGTTCTATCAGGATCTGGTTCCTGAGAACTAGAGGACAGGAGCCTTGTGGGGAACTCCAGTATACCTCAGTGCCTTAGGTCAATCCCTGACAGTCACCTCAGCCATTCACTATGCTTCTGAGAGCTAGAATCTGAGCCTGAGGTATCTGGTATACCTTCAGTACAATTTGCAAAAGGCATTCACAGATAACAGATAGTGGCTATCAGTGATTCTAATTCACAGGCTAGACAGGATGTTAAGAACTAACTGAGCACAGTGCCAATTCATGGGTCTCTCCTAAAGCCCTGCTCTCGGTTCTCTTGACTGATTAGACTTAAAGTCAATTTCATAGAGAAACTTTTCCTGACCTCAAGACCAAATAAGGGTAAGTGCCCATCAATGCCTTTGCAGCTAACTCAAAGACTCAGAAAGCTAATCATTCATTCACTGTCTATCACCTGTGACACCATGATACCCACAGGACGGAGAGTCTGTCTGCCACCACTGTGCTCCATGTGCCTAGTATTTAGTGGGCGATCAGCAAAAGGAATATACCTCAGTAAGGCATCAACAAATTTAGTTCTGTTTAAAAGGACTGGGTAGGACTTCTGGAAGAGAAGATAACATACTCCATCAGGAGAAGAAAGAATGAAAGGAAGACAGGAGGGAGGGAGGGAAGGAAGGAAGGAAGGCACACAAGCAGGCAAGTGAACCTAAGAAAACAAAGATGTATTTCCAGATTTTGGCAAGAACAAACTGGACGGCCATTCTTCCTTCCAGGCTGGCCCCACTACACCCTACTCTTCCTTTAGATGCTGGTGGGATTCACAGTTTTGTTCTTGCTTGATTGTAGCACTTCCAGTCTTCTCCAGGACTGGTCTTTATCTGTATTTCACAATGCAACTGTAGATCTGTACCAAAGAACCTCTCAGGAAAATTCAGGTGATGTGTCTTCATGTACACAAGAAGCAGAGTCCATCTTCACCCCCAAAGTCCCATAAGGCTAGGCAACCCCTGGAGGATGCAGTGTAGCTCAAAGGACAGCAGGAAAAGGACATGCTTAGTATTTTTGTAGTCCTGGCTTTAGTCCCTGATACCATGAAATAACGAAGGGGGGAAGTTATTGTCTCTTGGAGGGGAGGGAGGATCCTCCTAAAGAACAAAGACATGGAGAAGCTGTAGAACAGCAATCAGCACCCAGCCCAACAGCATCCACCCTTCTAGCACCTCACCTTTTAGCTCCAGAGAGGCTTGAAAGCTAACAAACTACAGATCCTAGGATCCCTTATGGCAAAGGGATGCACAAGATTTGCAAAATATTTTCTGGCTCTCTCTCCTGGCAAGTATGGCAGTCTGCAGTAGCATGCCAGGGTCCAGTCACCAGCTCTGTAGCTGTGCAAAGGAAGCTCCATAGTAAAGCGGGTGCTTATTCTCCAGCCTGCAGACAAAACAGGATGTTCCTGAAGCTGCCATCTTCAACAGCAGCTCCAAATGCTGAGCCTCATCTGTGAGAACAATGCCAATGTCTTGGTGGTTCTGCTCTGCATAGCCCAGAGCGCTCCCCATAAGAGCCTCTTCTCCAAGCCAACAATTCTGTAAGCACCCAATTTCCTGTGCTGAATCCATTTCTTACTTAAAATAGCTTCAATGTTTCTGAGTCCTAAAAATGAATCCTGACTAATTACTAACTTTTGCCTGATGTCATCCACATGAATGAGGAAACATGCCTACAGTAAAGAGAAATTAGAAACCCTTTGAAAACTACAGGTCTACTTGGTCTTTGAAGGCAAGGAATGTTCTTTTTCTTTTTTTCTGCCAGCCCTTACGCAGATGAAAAGCTCCGTGCCTCTTCAATGAATTGTACTGATCACCATATTTCTTCAACAAAGTCTTTCAATTATTTAACAATAATATTTCTCTTATACTCACTCTCTGTTTCTCAGCTCTGAAGCACAGTGATCAACACACAGTAGGGTTCCAATGTTTACCTAACTGCCTGAGATTGTAGAAGACTCTGTAGGGACTCTGGTCTCGGGTGCTGAAAAGGACAGCTCCTTCAGCAGCAGCTGTCCAGAGACAAATGCTTGGAGTGAAAGAGAAAGTGGTGACCTGTCTTGGCATAGAAGCTATGATCTCAGCTTTTCCCTGCTAAGTTAAGAAACATAACGCAGCTGGCCTACAGGAAAAGCCCAGGACATAGCTTCACCACAGACAGAACAACCTGGAAAGGGGAGCAATGACTTCCTGTTTCTCTCCCTGCTAAGAAGTCCTTTGGATGGGCTTCCAGGGACTAGACCTTCAGCCGCAGAAAGCATGCAGCTCTCCTGTCCTTCTCTGCTCCAACCAAGACCTGGTTTTAAGCAAGAATCAGGTCAACTTGCATGCAGCACATTTTTTGAAAATGTTTCTGTGGTAGGCTATTTCCAGGATTATCAACAACAAAACCTTATTTCATGTTGGAGTCAAGATGTTATTTCTTCCAGATTGTATGCTTGGAGCATACAATTGTATGCACAGGACCATTCTGAGGGATTGGGGGCAAGGGAATGATATACTTTGTTCATTACAAAGTGATATATAAAGACCCAGCTGTGGTACACAGCTGTAATCCCAGTACTCAGGAGGTAGATGCAGGTAAAGACCCAGCTGTGGTACACAGCTGTAATCCCAGCACTCAGGAGGTAGATGCAGAAGGATTCAACGACAGCTTGGGCTACATACTGAGTTCCTGTTTCAAAAAGAAAAGTAAATTAATAAAAAAAAAAAAAACCTAGGCTAGGAAGATGGTACTGTGGGTAAGATAGCTTGCTGTGCATGCCTGAGGACCTGAGTTTAGAACCCCTGCACCCACAGGAGAAGTCTGACATGGCCAAAAGTCCTGTAACCTCAGTGCTAGGGTAGGGGACAGAGATGGGGGGATCACTGGGACCTTCCAGTCTTGTTGAAAACGCTCCAGGTTCAGTGAGAGACCTTCTCAAGGTAACAGGGCAGCGAACATTAAAGGACACCCAGCATACTCCACGTATGAATGCATGGATCTGCACAATGTACATACACACACTATTCATGTATATATTAATAAGTACAACACATGTGCACATAGCATTCATCTATATATGAATACTACAAACACATGTACACACATGCCATTAATATATATATGAAGAAGCACAAACACATGTACACACACCATTCATATATATATATATATGTGTGTATATATATATACACACACATATATATATGAATATGCACAAACACACAAGTCTTAGGCATATCTAAAAATACATCCTTACATTTGTAGGGAATTCAGGAAAAACAAATGTAAATTAAGTGACCTTAATACTGTGTTGCAAACAGACTAACACTAGATTAGAAGAAACACGTTAAGAGTCATGTATCTCCATGAGTGACTGACTTGGGCTTTACATTTTTCACCTTGTATTACAAAGGTGAAACCGAGGATGAGAGAGCACCCAGGTTATACAGATTTGTCATCCATGGACAGCCAACCAACCCCTGGTACCCACAGCGGGAGTTAAAAGCAGAATGTAAAATGGCTTAGGTATCATGAGTATATTTTTTCTTTGACAAAAGATTAATTTCCTCTTCTGTTCTGAATAAAGCTTGAAGCAAAACTTTCATGTGAAAGCAATACTCTAAAACCAAGCCTGATTCTCCCTGCTTGACTAGACTTAGGTATCCCATTCACAGTTCTGAACCTATCACAGGCTGTGAGCCCCAGAGGGGAAGTTCAAAAGGGCAGCTCTGGGGAAGTGTTGTCAGGGCTTTACCACTCCCAAGTTCCAGGGGACCAGGTCTTGTCAATCATCTTCATTTTCTAAGTCACACAAACTCGACTGGTGGGCAGAGCTGGCAAGTGAGACACTCCTGACTGAAATCGTATGTTTCCTAGTCTCGCTCAGAGCATCCTTTCAGTCCTTTTATCGCTTGATACTTAGTAGCCACCACTCACCAACTACTCAGGAGTGAGCTTTGTGAACACTAAAGAATACCACCAGCCAGTCACAAGGAAACGGAAGGTAGAACACTTACCAGAGCTTTCAATCCCAAGCTCCTCAAGTGAATTCTTTCCACAAGCACAAGGTCCTCCCATCTGGGATCCAGATTCAGGAATCCATTCTACCCACGGCACTGACATATAACAGGTAAGTCCTGGCCACATTACAGGGATTCATCTCTGAATGAAGCACACTGTTGACATGTCTGGTGCTCACTGGAAAGGTTCTTTTAACCTAAGTCACATTGCCTCCTGACTGCTATGACAGCCAGGAGCACAAGAGGAAGAAACTACAGAGGCTGTTCCTGAATGTCCTGTAACTTGTACATTCTCGTATTAGCTGTCCCTAAAAACAGCATCACAGAACTCCACCCATTCTCATCTGGAGGATGCTGTGGCCTGGTGATGGTGCACACTTTTAATTCCATTGCTCGGAAGGCAGAGGCAGGTACATCTCTGAGTTTGAGGCCAGCCCGGTCTACAGAGCAAGTTCCAGGACAGTCAGTGCTAGATGGAGAAACCCTTTCTCAGAAAACCAAAACCAACCAAACAAACAAACAAACAAACACACTGTGTTTCTTAATATATCAGATTATTCATGTCTTTCAACATATGGTCAAGTTCATCTCCAATACTAATTCCAAACACCATGCCAGGGCCTTTCGTTGGTCTCTGTCTCACCAGCATTGCCAAAAATAAGTAGCACACAAAAGCAATCTAAAGTGACTTGTCATTTCTGGGCATTAGTAACAGATACTATCACAGATGAAAATTTAAAACTAAACACTCAAAGTTAGCCCTTTGTAATGACTTCTTTTGTTTTTAATCGAGTAGGATGCAAAGAACATAAGACAAGGAACAAACTACTACGTATATAGTAAGGATGTCTTCTAACTGGAATTATGGAAACTCTTAAATGCTATAAACTGCACCTGGAGAGAGTCTCATCTTCTAAAATAACCAAGAATATACAAGTGATTAAGTAATTACAATGGCAATTTAACTCAAAAAAAGATTCGTTAGGAGCGTGGGACAAAGGGTTCCTGGGAAACTGGTGAAAACCAGGACACAGGGAGAAGGGCCCAGGGAGGGAACCCTGGGCCTGGCCCCCCTGAGATTTGGCCAATGCCAAATATAGACAAGGATCTAGGGTGAAAAAAAAAAATGTGTGAACAGTATGACTGTAAGGGACTTAGCCACTGTACCTGCTGATCCTGAACTCCCACGAGGGACAGACATACTTTCTCCCTCTAATTATTTCTCCACTCATAACTTTGCCCCCTCCCCCACGTACACACCTTTCCTAACGTATTATTCAGCGAGACTCCTCAGGGTACAACTTTGAGATATAGTACGAGAACTCAAGAAATCAACACGAGATTTCAAAGGCACCTGACTCTTGAGTTCACACATGCTTCCGGGACTTGTGAACCTGCCCAGGCAGGCGGGAGACACCTCCACTTCTCTCTGGACAAATACCTTTAAGAGGCGGAGACAAGCGACAGAAAAGGTCCGCCGGGTCCTTGATTAGGGAACTAAGGTTACTGATGACAGTAACCACTTGCTTTCCCAACCCCTTCCAGATCTGGAGGGGCACAGGGTGGGAGAGGAAGGGGTTGGGACGTAAGGAGACTCGTGCTGGGGTTTCAGGTTTCAAGAGTTGCTACCAGAGCGAGTCAGATGAAGGTGAAGAAGCCCAGTGTTCCAGGCAGGGCCTGCGACTCTGGAGCTTCTGGGTAGCACCAGCTAAAGCCCCTGCAGCCCTGGTTCCCACTCATGCCCTCTCCGCCCGGGACTGCTCCTCGCCCACCCTTAGGCCTCACCCTCCCGTCCCCACCGGGCACCGGTGCCCGCCTTCTTACGCTGAATGGGCGGGTAGCAGCTGGGGTCCTCCGCGCCCGGCTGGCATCGGCTGGAGAAGGCGCTGCGCGGGGTCACGTAGTTGCTGGGGAAGATGCCCACCCGCTGGTTCAGCTGTCCGGTCCACCAGCCCTCATCGCCGGACACCTGCGAGTCCTTGGACAGCACCTCTACCACATCGCCCAGCCGCAGGGTCAGCTCGTCCTCGCCCGCCGCCTCGTACTCGAACACAGCCGTCCAGTAGGGCAGCGCGGCGTGAGATCCCAGCTCCGCCGCCGCCTCCTCCTCGTCCTCCTCCTCTTCGGCCCCAGCGCCCGTGGCATCCTCCCCCGGCGGGGCGGCAGCAGCGGCGCTCGCCAGGCAGCCGAGAAGCGATCTGGAGGACTCCATGGAGCGGCCGGTCCATAGGGTGCGGGGCGGCCGCCCGCGGGAGCCGCCGCCGCCTATTGTTCATGCGGCTCGGCAGCGCTGGGGGCTCCGCGCCCCCGACGGCCGCCGCAGGTAGGGCCCGAGCAGGCTGGGCGCGCGAGAGTCGAGGACGCCCCGGACGCACCGCGAGCGCGCACCGCGGATAGGGGCGCGGCGCAGTGCCCGCCGCCTGGCGCCCCCGCGGGCGGCCTCGCCCCTCGGCGGCTCCCACCTGCTCGTGCCGCCAGTGCCCGCCGCCCGCTGGCCGCTCCCTCCCCGCCCCGCCCCGTACGCCCCGCCCCCCGCACGCCCGGGACCACCTGACGCCAGTCTGGCTCCGCCCCAGCCCTGCGGACCCGGGGGCGGGGCCTCCAGAATGGGCCGGCCTCCACAGCCAAGCCGTCCTCCCATTGGCCTACCGCGGCTGTCCGTCTTCTGAGGGTGGCTGAGGCCTCATTGGGTGGCTCTCGAAGGTGAGATCGAGCGTGCGTTCGGACGGTCCGAGCGAGCTGCGGAGCCCTCTGTCTTTGTCTGCGCCGGTTGGTCCTGTGATCTGTGCCAGTTCCCGGTTCAGATGACCAAGCTCTTGGAACTGCTGTTCCCCTGGTCGGCCCTGGGAACCAGCTTAGGTTCCCTGTCGCCGCCACGCACACACTCACACCCCGGAACCTCAGGGCTTGAGATGGAAGAACTCTTTCGATTGCTCTGCTGGCCTTAATGAAGACTGTTCATCTTTGTAAGAGGAGGTTCCTGGCCATTATTAGAATTCCGAAAGGGGAGGTCACCTAGTGGGGCTTCCGCAGGCTAGGGAAGTCGTGCGCAACCAGCTAGTTGGCGCTTGCGGTGAGCTGGCTGTATCTAGGATCCTGGTGACTGGATACACGGAACCCATCAAGGACTAAAGCAGAGTAAAGGCGTGTGTTGCCTGCCACTCTTGGGCAAGGGCTGACCTATGCTATGTCCTTTTGTTACCTGCCCCGCCCTATCCCCCAAATTAAGAAAGAACAAAAAGACCTTAACATCTCTTACATGCTTTTAAGCCTATCATAGCAATGGCTTCCATATTTCAAAACAGCCATGGTATCTACCAAACCGTATTTACCTTTTCCAAGACAGGAATAGATGTGATTTGTTTAGAAAGAATTAGTACTTTGTGTGATTTTGAAACAAGATATTACTGGGTAGCCCAGGCTGGCCTCTCACAATCTCACCTCAACTGCCTGAGTCTTGGGAATGCAGGCATGTGCCTCTGTGCCCAGCCAGACTATTTTAATTTGAAGTTTAGTATTAGGCAAACTGGAGCAGTTTGGAAAAATAGCGAGGCAGCTCTGTGCCCTTGGGCAGATGCTGGACACTTCCTGCCATCTGTTTATCCTTGAAGTGAAGATCGTGGAGGGAAAGGTCTCCTGCGTTTTAGGTTGGACAACCAGTGATTTGCAAGGGACCATGACTACATTGTAAATGTAGACACTGCACATTTAAGGTCTTAGGAAAGAGGAGATAGTACTCTCCAAAGAGCACCCAGAAGGTCCTGGTGATGGAGATATGGAAGTAAATCCCCTAATGTGTTCAAATTTATAGGAGGATCTAACATATTCAGTTCTGGAGAGGGTCAATAAACTGGGAAAGACGTGCATGAGTCTGGATAAATTCTCTGATGTTAAGATGAAGCCACTCTATCCGCAAGAGGATGGGAGGGGGGGAAATGATTAGTGTTTTAGCAAATATTTTATTCAATAAAATGTTCATGTGTGTGAAAAAATAAGTTTTACAAAGTAGACACAAACACACACACACACACACACACACACACACGAGGGGCTGCAGAGATGGCTCAGTGGTTAAGAGCATTGCCTGCTCCTTCAGAGGACCCAGGTTCCATTTCCCACCCCTCACTGTGGCACCTCCTGTAACTTCAGGGGAAATGACTGTTCTCTGTGTGCACTAGGAATGCACATGGTGCACGCACACACACAGGCAAAACACTCAAACACACAGAATATTTTTACAAAGAAGAAAACCAGAAAGAAGGATGTTAACTGTATATTCAAGGGTTATTGGAACTTTTTGAATTGTTATTTTTCTCCTATACTCACACACGACCATTTCACAACACCTCTTCTTCCTAGAACAGATGAGAATGATCCTTGGATCCCTAAGAGTTTAAAAAAAAACAAAACAAAACTAACTTCCTTCTCAATTTAAATATTTAATGCTTCAGCATGTTCTTAAAGCCTCATGAAGAGTCACTCACCAAACATTCCAAAAAGTCACCCTGTAAATATTTGTTGAATGGATAAGTGCTAAGAATTCAAACTAGGGAAGACTCTTCAAACCACAGTTGCCCGGCAGGGCTTCGTGGCAGAAGTAGAAACAGAACCGGTCCCAGAGTGGTGCGGGGTGGAGCAGGAAAGAGGCAAGGAACAGAGAGGTGTGAAACTGTGGGATTGTGAGCCCACATTGTTGGCATGTGAGGATAAGAAAGAACGCTGGAAACCTACGGAGACCGGATTGCAAAAGGCTTGGTAGCTATCTGATTCACATTAGTAATTATTTAATTGATCATTTGAAATTATTTAATGACAAAGGTGTTTGCCATAAGGGCAGCAACCGGTCTGACTTGTTCCTTACAGCTTTCGTGGCCTCTCAGAATGCCTGGCACATAGCTAGTCACCTCTCTGGACACAGTCACACCTGACAGCTGACTTGGCTATAAGCCTAGGAAGTCTGGGTTTTGTTCATAGACCAAGGTTATCACAGGGCCAAGGAAATGGTTCAGTGGGTAGGAGGACCTGCTCCACAAACACGAGGACCTGAGTTCAAATCCCTAGCACCTGTGTAAAAAGCTAGATGTGGCTGTGTGTGCCTGTCACCCCAGCATTGCAGAGCAGACAGGCAGGTGCTAAGAGCTCCCTGTCTGGCTGTCCTTCCTGAACTAGTAGGAGGTTATGAGCAGGGCTTTGGGGTAAAATGACTGAGGTTTGCCACCCCTAGGTTCCTCAGCTGGGAGGTGATGAATGTTACCCAGAAAAGCAACATTTTTCTCTACCACACTGGAAAGAATAGCATCAAGCAGAAAAAGACAGGCATCCATCAGTTGGCATTAGACTAAGACCAGATGCTGACTGTGTCCTGAAAAAAATCTGACTTTGGACGAGACAAGATTATATTACTTTTTATTAATTATATATTAATTATATGTTCCATTAAATAATTATATATTGTCTCATTAAATAATTATGTTTCCTTATGTCGCTTTCATACTTCTCTATATTTTTATCATCAATCCCCATTACCTTCTCTTCTTCCCTTCCCACTCCCAA